CACACGAACGCGCACATGACCAATGAGGGCACGAGATACGTTTGTGCACAGATGGAAGGCTGACAGGCAGGTAGGCCATCCAGTTATTTTAGCCGGGCCGGCTCAGATGATTGGTCGTGCTTTTTACAGTACTAAGGCTTCCACAGATGACATTTTTTTATGGATTTTTTGTCAAAGCACTTCAGATATTCATTGCTATCGGGATGTTAAGAGCATTCCATGGAATATAACAAAAAGTGTATCTCGAGCCGGTTTCTCAAACTTACCTACCCCACCTTTTAATGTTTGCTGAAAAAATTAGAAGGATGAAATATAATTTAATAACAACAATTTTCATTAACTCTGTTGGTCCCTAATGTATTCATCTTAAATGTTTGTGTTATATTGAAATCTTGAATGTAATAAACGCTCTACTCATCCAGTAAGAATACAGAGAAAAACAAAATGTCATAGTACAACACGCCTAAAATGTTGAAGGTAATTTAAAAACAGAGATTATATGATTTGTCTATATAATTTGACATACAAGTTTATTTTAAAACTTTAAAATATTTCACCCATTTCAGATGCTGGAAACAAATCTTAAATATACAAAATGTAAAATATTTAAAGAATGCTTCTTTTTGTTCCATGTTCGTGTATCGAACAGTGGCTGGCATATCTGTATGAGATATACCTTATGTGTTTCTGCGTTTTTATTTCAACAACAAATCTTTCTGGAAATCATAGAAAAAGGTGCACAAGAGTTGATGTGTCTGATCACAATTACAAAACGCCCACATTTACATAATATATATAAAAAATAAAGCATCACAGCCTTTCATTCAAGAGGCAAGAAGAAGGTCATGTTTTCCAGTTTTTGTTTGATTGAATAATCCTTTCATCCCAGTTGATCGTTTCACCATTTGACATTGGTCTTTGGGGCGTAACATGCTAAATAATTAACGTAGGGATGCCTTAACACAATACATAGGTATAAAATACACATTCTATAAACCTTGCAGGTTCGCACTTAAAATCCCTTTCCTCTTACCTAACTTGGCTGCACAACCTTCTCTCAAAAAATCTCCCCATTTGTTTTCATCTAGACACTTTCTTCTTCCACACTCAACCATCTCCCAAAACCACTGCTTCTGTTTGTGTGATGCTGAGCCATTTCCCCCCCGAATTCCTTGGTTTCACATCTCTTGCCAAGATGCTGCTCAACTGACTCTTGAGGTACCACACCACTGCTGTACGGAAAGATTTGGGCTAGTTTTCTAATCTATGCACAACATCTGACTGAAATCATGATGCATAATGAATAATGAGAAATAAATGATGAAAAAGTTGCCGACACCTGGGCACCAACTGTGTCAAGAAAGTTATCCGCTTGATTTCCCCCCTTTCTTTTTTCTTCTCCTTCAACCCCACCCTACTTTTTCTGTTTCATGGTAAAAAGCACCTTTTTATTAAAAGCTGCTGTTGCCACTGAAACCATTTGTAGAATGAGAAACTCACAGAGTTGAAGCTTTACTGCAACCTCAGAGATTTTGCCAAACCATTTGTTTGGCTTTAGACATAAGCAATTATTTGTAGTAAGTTCACTGTTAGATAGAGTTAAAGACTTTGACAGGTATGAGTGATGGACTGGGAGAAGAGGACAACACAGCAATATATACTACATCATCTTTCCCTCTCCATCCCCTTTCAGTGGCTTTCAAGATAAAGGCACTGGCCTGGGAATTGATGAAAAGTTGTCAACAGAAAAAATTGACATTGTACCCAGCTCTCCTCTGAACTAAGCTTCCAATTTTTGTGATGTTTCATATAGAAAATACTCCTTTATTACAAAAATGTCTATCTCTCAAGCCTTCAAGATACAAATTATTTCAATCAAATTTAACATACAATCTGTTTTCTGTTACCTTGGTTGGTTATCGGCTAATGGTTACACAAGCCAAAAATCGCTATGACATCATAAAGTGGCCAAAATCTGATCAGCTCATTTTCAGACAGGTTTTTATATAAATGGATCAGGACAAAAAGAGAGCAAATCTTTTTTCCTGAAACTTTCAGAATCCTTTTACACAGAGGGGAGGACACATGCTTATGTATAAAAGACATGAAAAAGTGGATTCTGCCTGACAGGTGACCTTTTAAGGCTTTTATACAAACCCTGTTTACCATGATAATTATGAAACAAAACAAATACTGGATTGTCTCAGACATGACCACCATTTCACTTACCACTACGGCTCACCTTCAGATCGCTCACTGTCATGTTGAGACAGCCTATGGTTGTGAATGGAACTTCCTGTATTGATTGTCACTGATGCTTTTGAAGGTGCAATCATTAACCCTGTCACAGTGAGAGATTGTGATGCTTTTCAGGCTTGAAGGAAGCCGAACATACGCAGCGCATCAAACACCACTTTGCTCACCTTCAAAATGGTCGGTGCTTTCAGGAATTGTGGGTCCTCGCTTGTCATTGGAGGACCTGCTTGAAGGATGACCATGTCTACCTCATACCTTGTGCCTCATCCACGCTGCAGCGAGCCGTTTAGTGGAGAAAGTGAATACTGCTGAATACACATACTTTACAGGGATGCTGTATGCGAAACCAATGTGAGTTTGGAAAATTGCACAGTATTTTTCTATTTTAGTATACCTCAACAATGGAATTATGATCAGTGGAAATGGCCATGACACCTCTCCTTTAATCGTGTGTCCATCGGGTGTCAATTTCGGGAGAGTGTGACAGGGGCTTTATTGAAAGTCGCTTTGGGTAATATGTAATGAAATGTCTTTTTTTGCAGACAGCAGTCACCTAAAGACTATAGACGGAGCACATTTCGAATATGTGTTAAAAAACCACCAGGCGTTGGTTTCCGTGATGCACCTCCTTCCTGAGAATGTCCTCATATCTGGAAATGAGAACATTCCAGGGCTTGCAACTTCTCCGACAGGTAAACCATTGTAATATTTCAAATTTAACAATCCCTTCATATTGGTTTGTTTTCTCCTAGCATCTCACACCAGATATGGAGCAGATCTCGTACATGCATTTAATGTACCTCTTTAGATGTGATGACAAAGGCTTTGATAATCTAAACATATTTGGAAAAGGTTAAAAGTGCTTGAATTATACCGTTGAAAAGCTGTATGAATCCTTTATTTTGAATCCCCCCCCATCTAATTTCAGCTCACCTGAAGTTAACCTCACTCTCCAACTCTCTATGCAGATTCTCTTCAACCATCACCATATTCCTTTCCTTTTCCATCTATACCATTTTCGCATAATTTCTGTGCCCTATTCTGCACACATTTTCAGATTTACAAGGTAAACAAAATTAGCATTGGCTGTCCTTGATGAGAGTAAGTAATGCATATTTGGTCTATTGACAAACTCTAGTCTAGACTACTTGTTGTTCAGTGTATCGTTTGTGTTATTCCCTAACTCGTCAAAATGTATTTCTTTCAGATGAGAACAAAATAAAAAAATACGTAGGAGATTCTTACACTACAGATGCACATTAGTCCTCATTTAGAGTGGGCCAATAATGCTCATTTTCCAGTTTTCACATTTGTATGTTTTGCCTCTACTTTGACAATTGTACATGCTTTAATGTTAAAAAAGTGCTTTTATTTTGTGCTGCTATTTTCACACTGTCTGAAACCAGAGCCCAGTCTGCTCTTATTGGTTAGCTGGCCAGCTCTGTTATGATTGGTCAACCGCTTATAAATGTCCCCTCCTTTAACCTTTAAGTGTTTGAGCGCTAGCCAATAGAATCATGAGTGTTACCTTGTGATGTCACTATGTAACTGAAGTAAAATAACTACAATCAAGGCGTTTCAGGAAGGGAGGAAGTGCGTTGGAGAGAAACTCCCTCTGGCGTGAACTTTGGGATTTTAACCTTTTGCAGACCAAAACATGCATGCACATAAACATATATATAACACACTACAGGAAAGGGAAAACCCAAAATGCCCATTTAAAAAGAAAAAAAAGTTGAAGCAAATAAAAAAAGTCACCTAAACTCAAGCTAGATCAATCAAAATATGTCTCAACCAAACACCTTCAGCACATACCAGGTGCAATCTTACAAAACAAATAGCCTTTCTCCAACATCGAATGAACAAACAGGACAGTCATCATGGTACTTAATAGTGGAAACTTATTCCCATCAGGAGTTGAGATGTCTACAGTACTTAGAAAGTGAGTTTCTAAGGGGGAATGTAATGAAGTCTGACAGTGCGGAGCTATAATCATTGGGAGTCAGTGGGAGGTATGGTAGCCGGCTAATCCTCTTCATGTTCTGGGGCTGTGAGCAGCGGAGACCTAAGCTTCCTTTTAAGACCACAGCCACCAGTTTGATATGCACGCCGCATTCAGAACAGTCCAACTCTTCGCTCCCGAGACAAGGGGCTGCAATGAAATGCTTGATGGCTACATTACTCTTGAAGAGATTACAATCACACTGGTTATTTCTCTTTGTTGTGTTAGAAAGGGGTAATAGTCGACTTCACAGGCCTCCCTGCTTTGCCCATTGGCTCAAATGCTTTCACAAATCGATTCTGATACAATTTACGCCAGATGGAAACAGTTTTTGTTGGATTGTTTGACAGCAGCTGTGGTATCTCTCTCTGTGGTGTAAATACTCTAGTGATTGACATTAGGCAGCATGCCACAGATCAATGGAGCAGTCATTTAGATGGAGATGTTGTCCCTCAGCAACATTTATATACATTTAAAATCAAAGAATGAGATCTTACCATGCGTACAGTACATCTGCTACCAAAAAAAGGGTGCGCTGGCTTGTTTCTTCACCCAGGTCATAGATTCCTCCATGACAGTGCTTAAAGTGGGCCAGTACACACTGTTCTTCATTTCGCAATAAAGGTGTCGATTTATTGCGCTCCGGCACAAGTTGCAGGTGTTCTTTTGGCGCCTCTATCATCTCACATAATTTCTATGCACCAATTTTGCTACTTTAATACCAACTAAGTAATACTTAGAAATTAAGATAGCACTTACACTTTGCCTTGGACATATTTATAAAATAGTAGCCCTTCTTGGGTGGCACTTTATCAGTTGTTTTCTTCATCTACTCTCATTCACAGTTCAGCGCAGGGGCAAAAGGTTTGGGGGTTCAATGGCCCCCTGGGACCTAATATTTTATGGAACCCTTGTCATCGGCAATATTTCATACAATGTTTTAATCACTGAAAAAACTCGGAATCTAATGATTTGCTGACACTGGCATTTGCTCACACTTGGCACATCAACCGTCACTCTTGGTGAAGCTTAACCACACAGTTGCTACGTACACATTATATCAATCTCATATGATGAAATATGTAAACATGTGGCTCAAACTTATATGTGGCCATGGCCATTTTACACAGTAGTAGTCCTACTTGGAGAGTCAACCCTTATTTGTGGCATGTTACATGTTTTTTTATTCCCAATGTGGTACAGAGGGGTTAACGCTCATGTCACCAATGTGTATGGTTATTAATACAAACAAACAAACAAACAAAATAACAAACTGTAAAGCACATACTCAGGGATATGACATTGAGCAGCTCTTGAGTTCAGGGTGAGGCAGACATATCAACAAGTAAAGCTGCCGTGAAACAGCAAGTGTTTTTTCATAAAATGGCACAAATGCTGAAACTTGTGATAAAGTAACATAGAGTTTAGCTTACTTCAAAAGATAACACCCACATAAGTAGAATCAGTATGGCTGTACTGTAACACTGCATCAAATCGAGTTTTCCACCTGACCTCTCTTTTTTAAGTTTCTAGAACTGCCTTGATACATTTCATGGGGATGACAGAGACTGTCTGGGAACTTCTGAAAATGGGTCACAAAGAGGAATATACCGAACATCGGTTTTACAACTTGTTTTCTCACATTTATTATACTAGATGGTGCTTTTCAGTTTATGTTTACCTCCGAAGCAACCCAGACGGAAAATATGTTTTTTTCTGAGATGCAAACACAATCATCAGGTAAATGTCACGGCATGTCGATATGTGATGCTATGTTTTGTGCTGTCACCAGGGGACGCTCTGCTGAGGCCTCAGCTGCTCAAGATGCTGCCCTTCACCCTGAACAAACTGACCATCTCCCTCCAGCCGTCCCTGGAAAAGTTTGAGAGCCAGCTGCTGCAGCTGATCAATGCTGACTGCCACAACACAGTAAGGCCTTCACAGCACATACTCAGCCTTGATAGTAATTGCACATGACACATTCAATTAAATTCATTTATTCACAAACAGTTACAAGTTCAATCCTAAAACAAAATGGAGATATGAGACTGATTATCTATTTGAAGCTTGGAAAAGCAATCTAAGAAACACTAACAAAATACCTTAGAAACTAATCTAACCCTGAATTCTAACTAGTACCAACACATTCATTGTATCAGTGTAAACACAATTAAATTAAAATACACTAAGAAAATTAAAAACACTAGGGACAGAAACATTATCATCTGACGTGGACGACCATGTCAAATCCTCCATATTCTCATACTCTGGACATTTTAAATGATGCACTTACATGTTCTATTGAGAAACATCCCCTACATATAAAGGAAATATTGAAGTTACTATAAAATATGCATATTCATCATATTACATCTTACTTCCTTTAAGTGTATTTGGTTGCTTACAAAGGAAAAACAAAATTGAGTACACAATTCCGATAACATTTCATCCTTTTGGGGTAACAGTTCGCTACATTCTTCAAATTAAAGATGGCTGCGATGGCCTTGACATACCTCTGCCAAGATTATTCTCTCCAGCCTGATGCTTTCCTTTATCTCACTTTCCGTTTATTCAGCGTGCGAGCACAAGCCTTTTTACAGCTGCCACTGCAATTTAAGGGACATCACCTCCCAGACTAAATGGAGCTTATCTATTCTCTTCCCCTTTTTTCGTCTACGGAGTCCCAGATGGTTAACTGTATTTGACAGGTGCAACTATGGACTAGCAATCATTTGTATAGTGGCGTTCCACGGGCCCTATCGTTCACTCCTGCCTAAGTGAGATGTGTCTTAGTAGGGGAGGAGAATTGATATGACAATGCTGTCAGTCCGTATCGCTTTTCTGCTGCTCTTTGATACTGATGGGCTACATCTGCTAACAGAAACACATGGGATCAAAGGAGTGTTTAGAGTGTATTAAGCACAGCCCAAGCACCTTGTACTAATTGTACTAAGATGGACAAACTGCATAAACATTTGTTTTAGGGAACTGCAAGTTGGGCTTACATGTTTATTTTGATGGTTGAGTAAAGACTGTTATGAAAAACCCATGCCATTTAAATGTTTTTATTTATTTAGAGAATTGTTTGGACTCTGTTGAATCAAAAGAAAAAGTTGTAAGAAAAAGAAAAAAACATTAAATATGCATTAATGAAAACACTTTTCAAAAATATGTGTTTACTTAGATGGGAAAGAGCAAGCCCAAAGCAAAATGTGACCAATACCAAATTACCTCGAAAGAGTCATAAAAAGCTCTTCAACATTTGAAAGGGAAATCAAAGGGAAAAAAACTACATAATTTGGACTACCTTTCAGCACTACTCTAGTTGTTAAAAGATATAATGTAAAGGCTTTTTTATGTCAGTCCACAGGATCGGTTGGTAACAAGCCTCCATGAACTGTTGTTGGTCATTGGTGGTCATTTTCACTTATTCAAATAAATAAATTAAAGGGATCTTGTGAGTTACCATGTGAGCCAACAAAAGTTATATTTGTACATCCTTGAGTTCTAATAAAACGTCTCTAATGCATTTCCTTTCTAATAACCAGGGCTGCACATAACTGGTGCGCAGGTCCGCATGCGCACCTCCGCCAAAAAAAGAGCACTGGGTCATTTGAAAAAAGGTGCATTTGCGTACCAACATTGAG